ATGCACTAGGGTCAACATATCATATCCAATCAGTCAAAAAGTGCTTTTGATGCAGAAAACCCAGGCAACCACAGACAACAATCTGGGAGACAGGGTCTCTGGGACCAGCGGTGTCTCAGCTGAGGACATTACTGCACGCAAAGCAGCCACACACACATCCAAATACACACAAGATCTGGTGGCAGACAACAGTCGCCCTGTCATCTTCGATTGCAGACCACTCATGTTGGACCAGCAACACCTCACACAAAGCTCATTGGGCCTCGGCCCCCCTGGTGTCCTACTGCCGCCACGGAGGGACTGCCAGAGCGTTACTTCAGCTCTACAGAACAAACACAGAAATCAGTCTGTCTAAAAAGGCTTGTAGTCATGTCAAAATACTGCAGAAAATATTGGAACGCCAAGTAATCAAAAATGTACAACTGACTTGATGAAGATTATGACTCTGAGAGAAAAAATCAGTTTAGTCTGAAAAGGAAGGCTTGTAGGCAGAAGTTTGACTCTGATACTTCTAGCACCCCATGTAAGGATGCATAATATTGGATTTTTGGCTGATATTCAATATGACAATATGTTAAAACTTATTTGGCCAATACCAGTACCGATATTTTTTCCCCTACACCTACTTACACCTACTGACTCTGCTGTTGAATTAAAATACTACATTATTCTGCATGGTCTTTGTCAGTTTGACCTGCTACCAGATGCAGATGTCAAAAAGGGGCCTGAAAATGATGTAACACTTCAACTTGGATTATGTTTAATGTCAAATTTATTCATAACATTTACTCTCTAACACAATGACAACAATCGAATAGTGCAAATTTGTAAAATTTCACAAATCTAAACCCAACCTGTTCACAAGCGACAAGTGAAAAGCACATAAGTAGTAGTGCATTAATAGATATAATTGACAGTTTCTTAAAAATAAAACAGAAGCCTTTTATATTGGTGAGTTTTTGGATAGAATGGCCAATGTCTGATATTTAACTTTATTGGTATCAGCCGATACGATACATGCCGATAATATTGTGCATCCCTATTCTTGTGTTCGGCAGATGGCAGAGTAGATGAAACGTTATTTAGCTGAATATCGATCACACACATACTGATTCTTCAAATTGTCTGCACAAAGTCAGGTTTTATGACACCTAGTCAGTGTGGTGTCTGCTTATGTGTAGGTACTTTTGCTGATACAAATTTGATTATGTAATCCTTGTTGATAAGGCGCAGATAACAGTACACAGTAAATCTGTTTGCCATTTAAGCTCTTTGTGCATAAAATTTTAGGCTGGTGCATTTTTCAGAGGTCAATTTCGTTATTTTCCACATCTACACTCCACCCATAAAATTATAAACACAGTCCTATTATATTCAAAGTCAATGACACTGATTACAATAAAGTTAAAACAGTGCCCCAGATTTTAACCTAATTTATGCATAATTTAATCACTTGAGTGATTTTTTACTGTGTGTGTGCACAATGGTGGAGAGCTTTGCAAGAAGAAATGCGCAACACTAAATCAGCATCGTTCAAAAGTCTTTTGATTCAAAGAAGAAAAATGTTCTTGATCATTTGCCCCCGTTCGTCAACTTCTCATTTTTTAAGCATGCACTGCATAAAATACTGCCATGATCAGGTATCAAGACTGCGCAGAAATGGAGTGAAAAAGCAGCAAACATCACCAAAACAAACACAAACAATTACAATATTGTAAATTTTTTTGACTAATTAAAAATGTTGTACAGCATTACTTTAGCTACTTTATACACACACACACAAATATATATATATATATATATATATATATATATATATATATATATATA